ACTATATGTATTATTATTATAAGTATATTCTGACTATATTTTTGTATTTTGACACTTTGAAAGAGCGGAGCTAAATTTTTTTTGACAAAACACACACAATACATACACATACACACATATACAAACACATAACACAACAACATAACATAAAATATAATGCATTCACCAACATACCGTAGTTATTGACCAAGCAGTAGATCTGCACACACCAACCGGCAACTGTAACAAAACATATAATTAAATTAACATAAAAACACACATACAAAATATAACAAATACACATAACATACTTGCCTATACATAACACAATATATATAACACAACGAAACAACACATACTCACCTAGCTGCGACACCACGTTTAACCCCGAGCGGCAAAGAGGAAGTGACTGGGACACAGAAAACGAAAAACGGCAAATGTTAAGATCACCATAGGTCACACCGAGAACGGTCCCAAGCCCAGACATTAAACCAACCCCATCACCTAGATAAAGTTTAGAAAGTGCAACGCCGACATGCACACAGAAAGAAGTACAAGAATGGGGGCCAGATATGGACCGATTCTGGAGCAAAATCCCAACACTCCATAGCAAATTAGCGAAGGCACTAGAAATAGTGGAAACCTAACAGCCCCTGATGAAAGACATGAAGGACAATCTAATTACGTTGCTAAGAGAATCTAAAGTGAAGGTAAAGATCATGGAAGGTACCTACCTTAGATATGACAAATTGGAAAGAGATGTAACTGAATTAACAAAAGAAAAGGAAATAATGACCAGAATAACAGAAATAGAAATGGAAACAAAAAGAACAAACGAAGAAGTCAGACTGGAAACCGAAAAAAATCTGGAAAAATGGAATTCGAAAATAGAGGACTAGGCAATATAAAGAAAAATCTATCGAGTAGACAATATGGGAGCATAAATTAACATAAAGGACTGCTACAGATTTTTTTTTTTTTTTTTTTTTTTTATGCCCGGCCTTACATTTCTGGCCGAGCTTCCTATCTGCACCCCACTTTGTAGCAGGCCTTTATTTTTCTGTTTCTCTTGCATTCCAGTTCTCGCTTGTTTACACCTTTCATTCCGCATTCCTGATCTTTCTTTCATTCTATTCTCTTTCATTCTTCGAGCGACTGGGATTGTCGCATCTATCTCTACCTAGCTAATATTTTCTTTGCTTTTATTATTTTTATTAAATAATGGACATATATATTCTTTATTTTTTCTCTGTACATTCATATCTTATTCTAATTACATGTGGTTATTTTCTTATATATTTATTTCTTTTCTTTACTTAACTAAAATATATCTATTCTATTTCCTTTGTTAGGATCTTGTTCTTACATTTTCTTAGTGTTTTCTATTTTCATCTTTTTACATATATTCTTAATCTTACTTCTATTTTTATTTACTTATTCTATTTTCATTATTGAGTTGTGTTTTTCTAGTTTTGTTTGTGTTTTGTTATTTTTATTTCATTTTCTTTTATTTTCTTGGTCGTTTTATTCTATCTTATTTATCTATGATCTATCTTTATTTACTATTCTATTTACATTCTTGTTACATCATTGTCAGTATTTTGTATTTATTACATTTTCTTTTGTAATATTGATACATTTGTTCCAACTTATATATCTTTATTCTAACTTATTTTCTATTTTACATTGTTTTTTATTTCTAGTTATTCTATCCCCTTTTTGGTCTTTATTCTAGTTGATATTATTTGTCCTATATATACTTAATGTCTATTTGTTTTCTATATTCTCTTTTTATTCTAATTTCTATTTATTATCAATTTTCTTAGTCTAGTCCTATTCTTTTCTTTTTATTGTTTTTATTCTATCGTTTTCCTTGGTCACTTCAGCATATGCTAATCATATGCTTTTGTGTACCTAACTTTTCCTTGCTTATTTTATATATTCCTTTTTTAGTCTTTTTTGTTATTCAGATTTGTTATATTCATTATACTTTTCTGAATAATTGTACTTGTTCTTTGTGTTTTATTTGTGTATGTTCCTTTTTATTTGTATGTATTGTTTGTTCTATTTGTTTGTGTATGTTTTGTTCTGTTGGGATGTTTTGGTATTCTGGTCTTGCATCTTTCATGATGTTTCCCCAGAATATTATGTTCTTTTTGCATGTGTTGTGGTTGTGTTTTTGTGTGTTGTATTTCTGTTTTGTTTTTATGTTTTGTTTTTTGTTTGTAATGTGTTCGTTATTCTGTACTATTTTTGTTTTATGTATAGGCCGTTGTTGATCGAGCGAGATAGTCCCATTTGTCTCTGATTTTACATTCTGATTTTACATACCCGGCTAAACGCGTTGTGCTCGATGTCTTCCAGTTCGGCGTGCGCACAGTTGCAACACCTCGGTGGTTCCCCTTTATCCGGGCAGTCTGCTCGGATGTGGAGTCCCCCGCAGTGGCTGCATCTATCCGCACTTTCTGTACAAAATTTCCGTCCATGTCCGAACTGGAGACATCGTGTGCACTGTATTAAAGGCGATTGGTCCTCGACCTTTAAACGCTCCATTCCAATATATATTCGTCCCCGTGTTGTTGTTCTGTTCCAGGTGTTGGGTTTGACTTGTACAATCAGATGACATCTTTCGGGATGTTTCGCTCTGCGTCTATATTTTATTTTTACATCCTCTTTTTTATTTTCTTGTTGGAAGAGCTCGGAGTTTTGTTTAATTAGTGCTTCCATTAACTCATCATCCGTCATTTTATACTTAACATCCTTGATTAATATTAATGGGTCTTTGTTTTTTACCGCTTCTATTCTGATATTCCTACTCTTCCTTAGTCTTTCCTCCACCTTTTCCAGTTCTTCTTTGTTGCTACATCCAATAATTATCTTTTGATCTTTTATTTTTCTAACCCTATCAATCTTTAGGTCTCCATTGTTAGGTTTTAATATTTCTTCCGTTTTCTTGATAACGTCTTCGCTTGTATCCATTTGTTCGTCTGATGAGACAACTATTGAGTGCAGGGTGGCAGGAATTTGTGTTTTCTTTTTCTTTATTGTTTCAGCATAGGTTGCGGGTAGGTTTCCTATATTTATTGATTTTATTTCTTCCTTCAGTTCTCCTGCTTTCTCTTTTATGTTCCTTCCAATTTCTTCCGCTACTCCGCTTATTTTTCCTTCCAGATTTCCCTCAAGGGTTTTCAGTCGCTCGAGTAGAGGAGCATTCTCCTCTTTCTCTCTTTTTTCCCCATCCTGTGTTTTCCCTCTTTTTTCTCCTTTCTTTCATCTATCTTTTTTATTATCTCTAGCTGTCCTTTCCTTACATTCATTCCTACTTCTTTTATCTCCTGTACCATACTTTCTTCATACATACTTATCCTATCCTTTAACATTTTCCCTAGTTCATCCCCTCCTTCCATTCCTCTTACTCTTCCTACTTTCTTACTTTCTCCCATTCTTACTCCAATTTTCCTTTCCAGGTCGATGACTTCCGCTGTAAGGTTGTCCTCGACCGTATCTAGCTTACTAATGACCGAAGCTAGCACCTGTGAGTTCATTGTCTCCGGTATATTCAGTATTTTGGTCATTTTTCCATCCATACTTCCCAGTCGCATTTCCATTTGCGTGATCACCTTTCTTTCAGTTTCATCTACTCTATTTACGATGATTGTGGCGAGGGTTTCCTTATCTCGGGTTTCATCGGTATTTATATACTCCATGACGTCCCTCGCCACTTCCTCCGGTAATTTTACTTCCATATCTCTTATTTTTCCTTCTATTCTTTCTAAGCTCTTTCTTATCTCTTCTGTCATATTATCTCCTTTTGTTTCTCCTTTCACTATTTCTGTCTTAGATGTTTTTTCCTTTTCTTTGCTTTCTCCTTTCATACTTCTTCCTTTTATTCCTCCTATAGCTACCTCTAACCCTTCTAATTTTTCTTCTATTTTCTCCATTCCTTTTATGTATGTATATAAATTAGACATATACACATAAACACACACATAATACAAAAAGCCAACGACACACACATACAAAACTATTGGGATTATTGGACCACGTGTAGTTAGGACTACACTTTACTTGGACATATAGAGCTAGCTCTGCTACAAACAATACATATACATACACACACTTACACACGCACACATACAAACATAACACATATACACACAAATAATACAACATAACAAATTTCAATTGTACCTACTCTGCATAAACAAATAAAATGTTCCACTCACCGGCACAATCGAAAAGACCTGAGAATAAGGACCCCACATCAGTGCTTTCGCCAAGGCGAAGCATACCCAAGGTAGAAGAATTAAAAGATAGGAAAAAAGAGAAGAGTGCAATGGAAACACCAAAAGTGGCTACATTAGCACATACACAGGAGTGGGAAGAGGACATGGAGCGATTGTACGTGGAACTCCCCGCTACTACGGAAAAGCTTCAAAAAGCAATAGAGGCCTTGGAAACCCAAAACCCACTAAGGAAAGAAATGAGGGACAAAATACTTAACGGACTAAAAAAGGGAATAGAAAGAATGAGGAAGCATGAAAGAACAATAGAGAAGATGAGAGAATTTACAGAACAACAGGAGATGAGAGTAAGAACGTATGAAAGAGAAATAAGTGAAAAAGAAAAAGAGGTAAAAATGATAGGAAGAATGAATGAGATGGAAAAAAAGATAATGAATAAGAATGAAGAAATGGAAGAGATGATGAAAGAAGTGAATAGAAGAATGGAAGAAAATATGAATGTACTAAACGAAAGGATAGGGAAAGAGCATAAAGATAAGAGAGAAAGAGATAGAATGATTGAGTTATTACAGCAACTGCTACAGATTAGTAGACAACAGGTTTAAAGACCATTTCAAAAAAATGGAAGAAAATCAAGAGAATAATATAGGAATGAATACTATAAACCGGATTAGAAAATTATAAAAAAAGGAAAATAGAGTTACAACAGAATTGGTAGATGTAGGCCGCAGACTGGGAGAAAAGATAAAAGACAGTACAAATGAAATAAAGGATATAATGGAGGACACAATTAAGTCAACTCTACAAGAGGAAATTAAAACAAAACAGCAGAATACGGTCTACACAGAAAAGACAGAACAAGAATTAGAAGACCTAATCAAGAGGGTAGTGGAACACGTAAATATAACAACACCGACATCAATCTATACGAACCTACCCGCAAACTACGCAGAATCCGCAAGAAAGAAGAAAATGACAATTCCTACCACGCTTCATTCGATAATAGTATCATCAGAGAATCAAATGGACACCCAGAAATGGAGAAGTAAGGATCGACAGGATCCGTAAAGTAAAGGATCAAAAAATACTTATCGGATGCAGCAATAGAGGGGAAATTAAAAAAGAGGAGGAGAAACTAAAAAAAAGGCAAGAACATCAAATTGGAAGCGATAAAAAACAAAGACCCGCTAGTCATAATAAAGGAGTAAATTTTAAAATGACAGACGACGAGATCTTAGATGCTATAATAAAGCAGAACTCTGAGGTATTTAAGGAGGAATACAAAAAGGACGAAATAAAAATAAAATTTAGACGTAGAGCAAGACACCCGGAACGATGTCACCTGATCATGCAGGTAAAACCGACCACCAGAAATAGAATGACACCACAGGCGCGACTATATATCGATATGGAACGATTTAAAGTCGAAAACCAATCGTGCTCAAGATGTCTCCAGTTCTGATTTGGGCGGAAATTTTGCACAGAAAGTGCGGATAGATGTAGCCACTGCGGGGATATCCATCTTCGAGTAGATTGCCCGGAAAGAGGAGGACCACCGAGGTGCTGCAACTGTGCGTACGCCCAACTGGATGACATCGCGCACAATGCATTCAGTCATGACTGCAGGGTCAGGGAAAAACAGGAGTTCCTTGCTCGATCGACCACGGCATACACATAAACAAACACAACAGCAAAAACACTAAGAACAAAAAATAAAATCCTAACACACAACAATAAGATAACAAACACAAAATCCGGACAGAAGACTTCGCACCCCGGAAAAACATTGTTGAAATGGAAAATCGGAATGCAAGAGTATCCTCCAGGAAAACACATCACATATACACAAACACAACAGATAAAACACACAGATATAATTCAGAGGAATTATAGTGAATATAACAGAATCTGAAAAATAAGACAACACAGAACAATAAACTAAAAGAATAAAATCAAAGACAATGAATTAGACAATGAAAATGATAGGAAATAGATAGAAAGAAGCAGTTAATAAAGTAATAGAAAATAAATAAAATAGGAAATAGATAGGATAGGAAATTAAAAATTAGAATTAAGATTAAGAGGCGGCAAAACTAACTAATAACAGAATAACAATATAAAATAATAGACTAAGATAGAACATAAGTATATTAAAGTAGGATCAAAAATTTATCTAGAATAAGTAATTAATAACTAATCACAAACCAAAAAAGATATGTAACACAATAATGTAAAGTAGAATAAGAAAATACACAAAGAAAATGTAAGGATGAAAGAGTCCAAACAAAAATAACAAATATGTAAACTAGATTAATAAATAAATTAATGAAGATAATTTAAATAAGATAAGATAAAAAGCAAATGTTACACATACAAAGAAAAATATTTATAATAAAAAGGAATGCAAATAAAATAGAAAAGTAAAAATAATAAAAAAATTGTAAATTAGAATAAGTTCAGTAGAAATATAAGATAAAATGTACGAGAAAGAAATTAAAATAAAGAAAATGGGTTACCATTAATTAATAAAAATTAAGATAAGAAAAGAATTAGCTTGGAGTAGTTATAGATGTGACAGTCCCAATTACTCGAAGAATGAAAGAGAATGGAATGACAGAAAGATCAGGAATAAAGAATGAGAGAACGACTAAAAGCGAGAACTTAAATGAAAGAGAACTTAGAATACTAAAAAAGGCCTGCTACAAAGTGGGGTGCAGCTAAGAGCTCGGCCAATAATAAAGGGGCAGGCATTTAAAAAAAAAACAGGACTGACGAACTCTTCAAGCGCTTATTATTTTTTTCTCTACTACAGAGCGTATTTTCATCAATGTTCAGGTAACAACCGAAATAATTTTTTAAACAAATATTAAAATTTTCGATAAAGATGAAAGTTTGTTCTATTGTATATAATATAATGTATTTGATCAATTTTGCATTCATAATGCTATACTGGAAAATATACATATCATGAAATAAAATATCATTGATACATATTATTAAAATGATGAATGAATTTGTTTGAAATAAAAATTAAAGGGATAGATTAATGAAGAATGGCATGCCGCGAGGACCTCTTCGAGAAGGAACATTACATCTCTTCCGAAAAGAAATTCGTTATTTTAACAGATGCGTTATTATGTTTAATGAGTTATTTCACTATCTTTCAGATCCTGACGAAAAAGATATCAGTAAAAGATCATTTCTATTTATTGGGCTATGAGAGTGGTGTCATGGTCGCCCTCGAAACTGCAGCTATTTTAGAGGAATATGGTGAGTATGACATGATGTGACATGACATTGATTATTTTTTAATTATTAAATTTTTGCGTATTTAATATTAATATTTCTTTTGTCGCCCTTTTCATCGCCATCCTGGTATAATTTGGAAACTGGTGTTGCTCAAGGCAGAATTTATTTTCTTCTTCTTTTTCATTTTTATTAATTTTGTCACTTGTAAACTTCAGTGTTTGTATCATCTGTACGCTGATGACTTGCAGCTACATACTCAGGCAAACATTAACGGTTTAAATGATGCCATATATGTTCTAAACACTGGCTTAACCCCTGTTATGTTTGTTGTCGCTGTCAACCAAACTAAATACTTACTCTAACTTAAACTGACAGGCTCAAGAAGCAAAAGTTTCGGAAAAAGTTACTAGAGTGCTACAAACTCTTTAGCGCATGAAAAATTAATTAAGAAATTGAAAATTGACCTTAATGTTTCCTATAATCGACTATGGTGATATATGCTGTCTCGACGTGAATGCAGATCTACTTAATAAGCTTGACCGCCTTCTGAATAACGGCATTCGATTCGTTTACATTCTACGAAAGAACGATCAGACACATGTCTGAATACCGATAATTACTCAAATGGATGCCCATTCGGCAGCGCAGACACGTGCGAACACTAACCACCCTTTCTCATTTCTAGATTCACCTAATGCTCCTTCCTATCTTACTCCCTACTTTCAATACTCTACAAATCTACGTTCTGCTTCTAATCGCGTGCTCCTGTGTTCTTCTTATCACTCTGATGTCGTTCATTCTTCGTTCTTTATTAAATCTATTCTCCTGTGGAACTCTGTTCCTTTAGACATAAGAATGTCTACCACTCGGTATGCGTTTAAAACGAAGTTGCGCAGCTACCTTTTAGAACAAGAAGATTCCTTTAATGGTTATTTAATATATTGTATTTTCATTTATATTTATGTATTTTTCTATGTATTATTTAATTAGCTTATCTAGTTTAGTTTATTCTTAGGGCTATATAAATAAATAAAATGTATGAAATTGATATATCTGTTTGTTAGCAATAAAGAGTTATTATATTCTATTCTAATATAAGATATTATATGTTTTATTTATAACAGATACATTGACAAACAACGTATGAATTAGTTTTTATTTTTTGTTGTGTAGTGTATAAAAAACATCTAAATTTATATTTGTATCTTCAACTGTTACAGGATTATCCGGTACAGTATACTTGATAGGTACATCTCCCGATAAATTTAAATCAATACTTAAAAATGAAATTAAAAAATATGAAACTGACGATGAATTGCAAATAGCTGTTCTTAAGCACATGTACAAACTGATGTGTGGTGCGGAACTCAGTCTGGACATTGACGAAACATTGGAATGGAATGAACGAATCGAGTCATGTATTAGAGATTTACTTCCACGCGTTTCATTGTCAGCACAGTACTCAAGGCTGAATCTGATGATGCCTTACCATCGTATCAAGCAAGCATTGCAGTACGAACCTCAGCCGCCACCTCTTAAATCCAAAATTGTATTGCTCCTTCCGAACAGTTCTGGTAATGATGCAGCTTGTGAAGAGCTACAGAAGTACAGCAAACAGCCGCTTGTTGTTCACAATCTAACTCTTCCTCTTGCTCAAGCGCTGCAGGATTTGCGTTGCGCTACCTACATCAATCAACATTTAGACGACGCTGTTCTAGAGGAGTACAATACGAAGAATCATTGCGAAACCTACCTTCTGTGCGCAGACACGTTTATAAGATATAATTCTCAAGATATTGAGTGATTATTTACAAAGTGGCGTAAAGGAGCAAACATGAAGTTAGTAACTATACAATATCTTATTGTGAGTGACACAGGGTTGTGAGGAATTGAAAGCCAGTTTTAAGTACTTTTTTTGGAACTTCAGTCCATATATTATACTTCAGTTCATATTTATATATCAGTTATTGTTTTGGAAATTCAGATCATATTGAATAAAATCGAAAAGAATTTCCTTTTTGAAATGGTGTAAAATTTCGTAACGGGTATGGTTCTATTTATTAGTAACATAGTGCGTAAGTGGAATAAATTAATAAAATCCATATGTCTATTTATTTATTTTATCCTCTTCCTAATAAATACATATAAAACAAAATTTTAATAATTTAAAAAACAGGCAGTTGACATATATTTTAACGGACATACCTTAACAAATTCTAAAACCGCCACGGTTTTGGGTATTGTTATGGACACAAATCTGTCCTGGAAGGAGCAGATATAAAAAAACCGTAATAAAATAAGCGGATTTACATTTGCTCTGTATAAACTGTCTGGGGTAGTATAAGTGCAGCTGTTATGGCCTATTTTGCGTATGTTGAATCTATTATTAGATATGGCCTGGTAATGGGAATGGTACAGATATAAAGGAATTATTCATTGCACAAAAGAGATGTATCAGGTCGATTTGTAACATAGCACCAGACGTATCATGTAAACCCTATTTCAAATTTTTGAACATTTTAACTTTACCAAGTCTTTACATTTTTGAGGTAGCAGTATTTGTTCATCAGAATATTCAAAAGTTTATAAAGGTGTGCGATATATCCGAAAGGTCTAGGCGCCATCCCCATAGACTGGTATTGGAAACTGTCCCAAAAACAAAACGATTCTTAAAGAATTGTACCTCTATGCGTCAAAATATCTACAATAAAATACCATTACAATTTAAAGAGCTCCCTATTAAGCAATTCAAAACATTGTTACGTCGATGGCTGTTGAACCATACCTTCTATACAGTGGATGATTTTTTAAATCACAAGGAATAGCATAGTTGTGGTCGATGCAGAGTTTAATTAAATGTTCTAGTAGTTTATAATTAATGTAAAAGTTGACAATCCACAAAATTATTTCAATAAATGTAATTTATTTAAATATGTTTAATATCGTAATTAATATTAATTATAATTTAAAATGGACATTGTTTTGAAATCCAGTTGAACTGACATTTGCAAGCTAGTGAAATAATATGGCTAAATAGGTCTAAGTACGTTATTGAAGACAACTATCCACTTCATTGTAATCTACCGTATTTATAGCAAATAAAGAATTATTATTATTATTATTATTCCTGTATCCATAATTTACTCTTCCCGAACCCTCGACGATTCGAGGGGTGGGAGGATTCCCCCCAGCAGAGGAGGCTAGACGCCGGGGGTCAGGGCGACAAAGAGAGAAAACGGCGGACGATCCTTGCGTTATCGAGCAAGATCGCCCGCTGGAGCCTCGCAATCATTGGTCCATCACGGAGTCCCAACCTCTTCAGATGGTCGTGAAGAGAAGTTGGGACTAGGCCATTCGTTGACACTACGACTGGGATGATCTTAGTGGATGACACTCGCCACATATCGGTAACCTCGTGCGCCAGGTTCAGATATTTAAGTTTTTTATCTGATTCGGCTTTCACGAGGTTTTCATCGAATGGGACGGTGACATCCACTAAGAACACCGGAGATTCCGCCCGGTCCATCAGTACGATATCAGGCTTGTTCGCAGGAACAGTCCTGTCCGTAATGACGGACCGGTCCCAGTACAATCGAGCGCGGTCGTTTTCAAGAACTGGCTCCGGCACATACTTATAATACGGCACCTTTTCACCTATGAGGCCGTATTTGAAGGCTAGCTCGAGATGGAGTATTTTGGCTGCTTGGTCATGTCTGTGCAAATACTCGGTATTAGCCAGTACAGGACAACCGGAAGTAATATGCCTGAGTGACTCACCGGGCTGGTGAAAGGCTCTACAAACGTCCTCTGTCCCATCCTTCAGGATATACTTCCGGTAGTTTCGGGTCATAATGACCTGGTCCTGTATTGCACAGACAAAACCTTCGGTTTCCCAAAGAGGTCCCCGAAGTGCAGCCAATGCACGGAGGCTCTCGGATCCACGTGACGCTCGTATAGCGCCTTGTAGAACCTACCGTGCAACTCCTTCTCCCTCCAGACGGCCTCTCGGTCAGTGGTGCTAAGTACTGCTGGTTCTCGCCATTGCTCGGTGGCCAAAGAGAGAGGGGTTAGTCCTACATCACATGCTTTGACATCTCTATGCAACTCACTGGATTCCGATTTCGCCAGGAAGTAATTACGGAGACTGTATATCTCGCGGTTGTGCAGGGTTTTAGCACTGAGCAGCCCACGACCGCCGCTCTTCCTCGGAATATACAGCTTCATCACTGACGATCTCGGGTGGTGCATCCTATGGAGTGTCAAAGTTGTGCGGACTTTCCGATCCAGGGCGTCCAATTCGGTCTGAGTCCATCTGAGTATGCCAAAGGTGTACATTAGGACTGGCATGACCCAACCGTTAATGGCCCTGACTTTGTTGACGCCTGACAGGTAGCTTTCAAGCACCTTAGTCAGGCGTCTCAAAAAGGCCTCCTTGACGGATTGTTTCACGTCCGCCATATGCACACCTAGATTCTGTGACATACCCAGATACCGGTATGTATCAGTTTCGGAGAGGGTACGGATGGTGGATCCATCTGGTAGGTCCACTTGGGTGGAATCACTTATCCGACCTCTATCCACATGGATAACCGCACACTTGTCCAGCCCAAACTCCATGCTGATGGAGCTACTGAACTCCTGAAGTGATTTTCAACAGCTCCGCCAGCCTCTGAGCATTTGGGGCAAGCAACTTGAGATCTTCCATGTAGAAGAGGTGAGATATTTTGAACAATCCTCTCTTTAACTGAACACCTGTCCCTGGTTTATCCAGCAAAGTGCTAAGCGGATTTAGGGACAGGCAAAACCAAAGTGGACTCAGACAATCGCCCTGGAATATACCCCTCTCGATCTTTATTCGGTCTTCCGCATCCGACAGCTGCATCCCGAACAGACTAAGCTGCGTACTCCACTGCCCCATACAGGTCTCGAGGAAGTTTCGAACTGTACTATCGATCTTGTACAGCTCGAGGACCCTCTTCAACCACGTATGGGGAACCGAGTCAAACGCTTTTTTGTAATCTTCTATCCAGGCTGCAGAGAAGTTGCGTCGGTTGCGTTTGACCTGTTGGGCCACGAACGCATCGATCACAAGAAGCTCCTTTGAACCGCGGCTCCCGCCCATGCATCCATTCTGAGTGTCCACCATGATATGATTGTGCTCAACGTGAGCATCAATCTTGGCCTTCAGAATGAATGTCAGTGCTTTGTAGGTGGTACACAAGCAGGTTATGGGGCGGTATTGTGATGGATCCATGGTATTGGTGGACTTTGGAGCTAAGTGAGTGACCCCAGTGGTTAAGAAGTTTGGGAGACTTCGCTGTTCTAGTGCGTCTTGGAATTGGCGGGCCAGGAATGCGTGGCATGAGCGGAAACTCTTCAACCAGAAGTGGTGCAGTCCGTCAATCCCTGGAGTTTTCCAGTTCGGAGCTTTACGGACCGCAGCCAACACGTCCTCCGACTTTATGGTGATGGGGTTCATCGCATCTATCGATGCACACGCTTCCTCTATAGGCGCCATCCATTCGCCCTCTATGTGCTCCACAGGCCGGGACCAAATGTCGGACCTTGGCCAGTGGAGGGGCCAGCACATGTCTCCCATGTACGGTAAAACTTCTTTTGGTCACTCCCAAAGAGACGATTCTGGCGAAACCTTGCCCCTCTTTCCGAGTACCGCCGTATCCGACTTCCCCAAGCCGCAATTTTCTGTTTCAGGTCATCGATGCGCTCCGACACATTTCGCATTAAGGCGGGGTCTGCAAGACTGAAATCTATCCCCGTCATTGCCATGTGTACGAAACGCATCACCCTCGGCCTCGTATTGCCTGACCTGAAACTAATCAGTTTGCCGATGAGGACTCTGGTCTCAGCAATACGTTTCTCAATCCTCTTACGCCACGCCGGAGTCTCGCTGTGCCGGGCAATGGTATGCCGTTCCGCTCTCCCTACGGGCACTTTGGCGCCGATGAATTGACAGACCGCCAATGCGGCGCTAAATAGGATCGAGTTGGCATCACTGAGACTGCCGCTTTCTTCCAAGTATGGAAGAAGCATTTGGCTTACTGCCTCAACGACATCCCGATTTTTACGACTTAGGGGTATCCTCGGGATTTTCGGCCTCTCCTCAAGTGGAAGCTCACGAAATTCGAGAATCGCCTCTTCAAGTAACCCCCTGATCTGCTCTAAATTCTGGGCGGTTGCGTCGTCTACCCTTCCCTTTTCAGCAGGAGCAGGACTGGCCACTGTAGCATTGGGGTCGTATATGGTGCTGCGCGCAATGCTACTCCGCCTTCTGCTCTGCCTTCTGCTACCGGGACTCATAGACGACACAACCTCGAGTCGTAGTTGACCGAGTTCTGCTGGAGTAAAGATTTCTCTCCGAAGAATAAAGCGAACTCGATCTGCCAAATTTTGCGCCGTAACGGACAGCGAAGGCTCCAGGACACGAAACGCGGCAAGCAATCTTGCCCGATAACCCGTCCCGCCGACACCCGTCTCTGTCGCCCTGTAGTACGCGCGCATGATGTTTTCGTTTTGTGGAGTAGTCCACCTCATGCGGCGTACTCCACCAGAGGCAGGGACCGATTGCTGGGTCTGTGAAGACCCTGCCGGACCCAAGCAAGCTGGTGGTGATGGTGGAGTGGGCCGGCGAGATGGTCGTGCCGGCGCTCGGGGTTGGCTGGCTCGCATTCTGCTCGACCCGGCGCCAGCTCCGGGCGAGCCCTGGTGACCCCCAGGCAGCGGCCCTATACGCGCTCTGTTTAATCCACTCATCATAGTACAAAAGGCTTGATACATCAGGGGTCG